TCCGAATGTAATTTCATGTTGAAATGCAAGTTATTCAACGTAAATGATTAAAAAATTGCATCATTTGCATCTAAAATTGCGTGATGAATTATTTACAAGATCAAATCGCTTGTTGTCTAATTACCTCGTTGTTATAATTATTCCAGCGTAATAAAAACACGGAAGTCTCTTCAGAATTTATTTTCGGATAATTAAATTGTTTAAAAAGTGAAACAATCGTAATCAATTTAATGTTTCCTATACTTTTGCGTCATCGTGAGTAATAATTCCGAAAATGCACTCATGTACTCTACCTGATTGTGACAAAATGCGCAAACCGAACAAAACAATGCCTTCACGTCTAATAATTAATCATCGATCGTAATCAATGGGGAAATTATGATAAGTCACGTTCACGATTGTAGTCCGGAGCCATTGAGTGCACCCACATGTGCGGCACATGCCAATAAACAGCAATTTTATGGCGAGGCAAACACAATTCGTTAGCTAGCTTCTGGCGCGCAAAAATGGAGCGCATTAAGCGCGCATGACGTGAAAACGTGCAAAAATTGCTCAAATTGTCTGTGTACTCGTTTATAACAAAGTGGACTAATAAACAACTCATTCGTGAGCCGGCCGGCCGTCACATTGTCTGCGTGAAAAGGTGGGTGAGGCTAAAAATAGTCATAGACTTCGTGAGCGCACAACGAGACTATTTTCCTGCCAACCAACAGTTTGAGAGGAAAATGGCAAGAAAAAAAAAACATGAAACATGCAAAAAGGAGCAAATAGACAATTTCCGCGGATGGTCTTTGTCCATTTAGCTTTCTGTCCGCTTCGTTGATTATACACGTTGTTAAATTTCCACGAGATATTCTAAAAATATGAAAATATTTTATATTTTATGGGTTAAGTTGCGTTACGTGTCAATTTCAGGTTTGGCAATATTTACGCGAGAGCATAAACTTTAATATAAAGTGAAATTCCGGTTAGGTTCTAAAAGGCTTTCCGCGTTGCGAAGGTCCGGAAAAATCGAACGCTATGTCCTCGGGGTTATCTCGCCCCCGGAGTGAAGTTGGGTGCATGCATGCATAATGAACCTGATCAGAAGGGGTCGGCTCGTTTGGTTGCTCGTTCACTCGATGCAACATCCCCAACACACAATGAGAGTAAAGAAAAACATAAAGCGTGATATTCATAAGCACCTAAATATTTTTCGCTGTTTCCTGTTTCGAAAAAAAACAAGAAAAATATTTTTTTGCCGACAAAATATAACAAAAACATGACGCAATTTTTAAAGTTTACACATTTTTGTTAATTTTACAGAATTTTTGCGTTGTATTGTTGTTTCGTTAATGTTTTCTTGTGTCGCAGATGTTTGTTGCTTTTAATGTCTGAGCATAATAATGAATTAGTCAAAGAGTGTGAAATATGACATCATATTTGGTATTTAAAACGTTGATGACGACTCTGCAACGACTCGCTCGTAATACGAATACTAACAACACTGTAAAGAAAACAATGACAACTTGTGTTAAACAATATACTGGCCAGACGATGCGCGAAATTAAACAATAACAAGAAAACATAAAGAGTATACTCAGTTATTTAGCAACAATTAGGCGACTGACAACAACAATCCACTGTTATGTTATGAGCAAAGTTTTGTGTTGAAACTTAAAGAAAATGCTTTTTGTTAAATTAAGAAAGAAAATATAAGAAAAACTTTTGATTGCGTTGCATTCTGTAATGCGTATAAATTGTAAGCGAATGACTTTGAGTTTCAAATTGATTTCTTTATTTTTTGTCGGCGGTATGTCGACGTTTACTTTATTATTGCGAGTTAATCGAAACCAGCGGATGCAAATTAATTCCATCTAGCATAAATCCGGCACAAATCGACACGTGCAATTGACATTTTACAACACAATTAAGTAATACTTAATATACAGTGTCACATAATTTACTTGACATTATATAAAATCGGATTTTAATAAAAAAGAGTAAATTAAAATCAAAATTTTAATTCAAAGAAATGGAAAGCTTATATAATTTTCCTTGGTCAAAACTATCTCTATACCAAAAATTATAAAAATTACTTCAATAGTTTTCGCGTGAAAGAGACACAAACAAACCAACTCCAACTTGCATTTATCGGATATACAATAAGTACCTAACCTAATATTTGGAATGATTTAATTTCTCATGCACAGTTAATTATAGAACCCATTACGTATAGAGTAAAAGCCTTCAATTAATCTATGGAAAGTTCAATGGCTGATGGCGTCTGAAGCCTGAATAGGATGCACTCGCACTTTAACAACGCATGTAAAGCATGTAATAACGTGTAATAATGCAGCCGTCGAGGATGCTTCAAGTTTTAAATTTTACGGCCCTAGTAAGCACAATTACGATTAGCCATCATTAACGTTAATTATGCTCAATTAGAGATGCATTTTCATATGCATCATGCTTTGTCCACTCGGCAATCTACATTATTTCATTTTTGCTTATTATCCGTTACACACTGTATGGTTCAGTCACGGAGTTCTTAGATTGCTTGAAGAATAATCAACTTGAATTAATTTTAATTTTTCGAATATATTTTCAGTTGAAAATTCAAACTTTTTTAAATCTGAACTTTAATTGTCAATAACTTTTTGTTCAATAATCTGACCAAAAAGCGCTTTCGTAGTTCTGTAGAGAATTTAATTCTGAACCTATTTATGAAAGAATAACAATGATAGCAGAAACAGATTACGAATAATTAATTAATAATGATAACTTTTTAATCTGGCGCCTACTAAGGTCACTGTAACTATAAAAATAAAAGCCAATCTGGCCCAAGTCTAACTTTGATATTTCATGCTTAAAAAACTAAATAAACTCAATAAATTTCCGGAATATACCACCGGGTGTCTGGGGGTCTTGGGATTCAACGACACGTGTCGCAATAAACTTTTTGCTCATCTTTATTTTTTCTATCCAGCTGCTATTTCTTCACTTTCTCGATGATTTTTTTCTGCCTGGAGCAAAGTTCGATCGCACACTGTGATGTTACATTTCTGTTCTTTTTTTCTTCACTCCTCGTCGCCAAGTTATTTCGCCGCCATCGACGAGACGACAAGTTCAATTACACGCGCTGAAAATGTGCGCACAGCTGAATTATTTTTTTGCTTGTGGTTTTAATACGCGCGTCACAGAAAAGCGAACACTACAGCAATTTGCCGATGCTATTAATTTTCTTATCTAACCACCCGAGGTTTAATTTAATAATAAATCAGCGTTTCCTTTCTTGACAAGCAAAGAAACCATCGCCACAGGATATACAGTGACACAAACTTTGGTAGACAATGTGTAATTTTATATCTACTGTTATGTCGGCTATGTACAATGCAATGTTTATTGTAACTTTATAGTAATTTGATGAACAAACCCACAAATGCATATTTTATGTCGTAGCTTTTTCTGGTTTTCCAACCGCACTTGTTGGGAGCGCGTCGTGACTAAATTATAAACATTATTCTGCATTATTCACTCATTTCTGCGAGTAAAACAAACGGAGGTTTTTTTAACGTTCTAGACAAAGCGCAGTCGCAAAAAACAAGAACAAGAGAACTTGCTCTACTTTCGGTAATAACACACTGGCAATAAAATTATGACTGGGAGCACTTTAACATTTCATTCGCCTTATAGAATTACAAAATTCGTTGGTTTTTTTGTGTTGTTGCTTTATACAGCAAAGAACAATACTAATGTTAAACTACTGTAGATATGACTCAAGTGCGTATTGTGCTCAGGGCATCGTGTAAATGCGTTAATATCTAATTGTTTGACGCAATTGTTCTTGTAATCATGTGTTAATCATAGTTTTGGTGCAATAAAGTTCTTCAGAGTGTTAAAATTCACTGTTTTTATATTAAAGAAATGAAAAATGCTAATTATGCACTTTTACACCACCTTGGGTTGAATTATATAACTGTAACTATGACTGAATATCCATATCAACTTTCAAACTTTTATCTCTTATTTTTCACCCCACAAGTTAAATTTTTACGTCAAAATGTTACCTATTTGCTTTTCCTGTGTCAAAACTATCTGTATCCTAAAATTTGTGAAAATTTGTTCAGTGGTTTTTGCGTGAAAGTGTTACAAACACATTTGCATCCAATAATAGAAAAAAATAATTTTTATTTGTCTTTATGTCGTTATTGTAAAAAAATACGATGAATTTTCTCATGTAATTATTGTTTGAACTGGTTTTAACTGTTTTCCACTGTAAAACAAAGTAATATGAGAACCCGGAGCGTGAATGCGGACATGATAAGGAATGCAACAGTCGGAAAGAGAAAAGGAGAGACACAATAACGTCTAACGATGCGCTCGGTCATGAAGTCTAATTATTATGATTAGAGCGGCGGTGCAGGTCTCATTGCACAGGAAAAAATTACTTCAAAGTGAACGCAAAACATTGAAAATTTTACCTTATTTTTTCTAACTTTAACCCAAAAAAACTTAAATTAATTTAATAATTGTCAATGTCAAGTTGTCGGGTTAGTTACTACGGCTTAATAAAGTTTGGTTAACTCTAGTGGAGGTAGTGGAGGTAGACTAGAGGTAGTGTAGTATCTAGAAGTATAGTGCAAGTCATTTTGCATGAAGGTTTTATCTCACCATAGATAATATACAAGAGCGGCTACGGTCGGAGGCGCCAGACGCATTAACCACTCTCAACGCCTGCCGGTCTGATGCGCGACTGCATAATGCATGAAGTTTTACAAGGAACACAACGAGCAGAAGAGCACTAGGATCGAGGAAGCGCTGCTGCCGAGGTCTGCGCGCAATGTAAAATGCAAAAGCGGACTAGTTTACACTGTAGTCAGTCTAGTCACTTCACATTTTGTACATTTGTAGGATTTGTTTACAATTAAAAATATTCATATCCGGAAAAAGTATTTTTTTACGCATATACGCGTTTCAAATCAAAGCATTTCTTTAAAAAATATATTTTTCTGTTTCAGATGTATCCATCAAGAACGAGCACATCATCAATCCCACTGGAACACAGAATTTCCACACTTTCAATCCGAACGACAGACACGTACAACCGCCCAAAGTACGATTCATACGGAATGAATCTATACGAGCAACATCACCGCCGTCGGTTATCTTCTACTGGCGAAGGTAGTGGCGACTCGAGCACCACCGCCTCCGGCAGTACATATGGAGAAAAAGATAGTGAAGGAAGCGAAGGACGCGCCGAAAGTGAAAACAGCGATGCGATGCAACGAGAACAAGAGGACGCACGGTCAGAAAGTCCTGTCGATGTTGTTGTCTCAGAATTAGAAAAACAGCAAGTGGAATATGCTTACAGAGGATTAAAAACGCAGGTAAATATTTATCAGTAGCAGTAAAGTTTGCACAAGATATTAAAAAGGTAAAAAAACGACGCTCGCTGGAATTCTATCGCAAATTGTATCGCAAAATACGAAATAAAAGTGTAAACTTTTTAAATATTGCACTTCGGGGAAATGATATCTAGCAAAGAGCTTCAACAGCTTCCATGGAGTAATCCCAAGCCCTCGAAAAACATATGAACCTTACAGCACAGCAAACGTGCCAGGATTAAAATTCTTATCTCGTCGACGCGTGAATAAAAAGTATAAATAAAACGTAGATAAAGACGTGCGTGGCGTAAATAATAAATTAATCAACTACAGCCTGGAATCTTCCTCGCATTTCGCCACGGTTTATGATGTTATGATGTTGTTTCGCGTGGCTATTAATTATGATATGTAGTAAAACTGAGTCCCTGTAGTCCATGAGACGAAACACACATGACGTGTTTTAATGGCTGATTATAAGCGCATAATAGTCATCTAGTAATGAAACGATTGGTGCGGCCCACGCAATCGGAAGACCTCTGACCTTCTCTGACATCTTCCGCGCGTGTTGCGTGGAATTTTCGATTGGATTTCGTGTGCGTTATTAGATTCTTGCTGTTTTCATGACTTTGAACTTGAATATCTATTCGAAACTGTACAAAACGATAGAAAGAACATATGAGCATGGACGACACGCAATATTCGAGCATAGGTAACACAAAGTAAATGCGAACGTGAGAAATATCAAAAGATCGTTTCCGAAACGAGAAGCTGCGCACAATTTATACTCATAGGTTTTACAAATTCTCGTCGTAACATATCAGACATTTTTGTTTTATTAAATTAATTTCGATTTAATTTGAAATAAATTATTTTATTGTCTGAATTTTTACTTTAAAAATGTTATTATGGTCTTATAACTTATTTTTAAGTGGACCACAGTGTACAATCATAAATTTAAAGATTTAAGCAGGCAATCCTTTACTTCTGACTTTTTTTTATTCTCTCTAAACCTTGGATTTCCACACGTTTTTTTCTTGCTTCCAATCGAATACGTATCAATTGTTCGAGTCAAGTGCGCCGGATCGCTTCCGAATACTATTACAATCGTAAAATGCTTTAAATCAGCTTCGCCATTGATACCCGCAAAAAAATCCCAGCGCGCTTTTTTTCCAATTCTTTTCTTACGTTTTTCAATGGTGTTTATTCTGTTTGTGCACTTGCATGAACGCCCACGCTCAACACTTGATAATGATTCATTCAAAACCGAATGAAGTCAACAACATTTTTAAACCTCAACTGATTTATTCAAAAGAAACGCATTTCGCTGACGCGTTACTATCGCTGAGTAATCCCGGAATCCACAAAAAAGTCACACATCAGCGTTTCATATCGTTTGATAAAGTTTTATGCGTTTAAACCCAATGGGATATGAATTATCATCAGTTATGTGTCACTTTTTAATATTTTTTTTGTTTATTTCCTGAAGTAAAACCTTGAACAATATGCGTTTGAAATTTTAATTTTGTTTTATTCGTTTGGAGGGTCAGGAAAAGTGTGGAAGTAATATTTTTCGACGGTGTTTGTCTCGTCCATCGTCCGCATTGTCCTTTTAAGTCAACTTGCAGTCAATAGCGAATGACGCCACCGTCGGCGCTGCTTAGTAAATTCGTAACGAGATGACCTATTAACATACTGCGCAAATTTCGCGTGAGAGAAGCACGAACATGAGCGATGAGTATCGTGCGCATGAGTTGCTAAGATTATGTGGTGAGTTGTACAGTTGTGGGATCGGTGAGTGTGGGTTATAATTGATGCAAAGACACTTGGTTTGAATATCACGATGTAAGTTTATTAAGAAGTTGTGGTAATGCGTTTATTAATAAGTACTAGCTTCTGCATCAAATGAACTCGAAGAACTGACTGACGAACACCTCTCGAGGTGCCCCTTTTATATCGGAAATTTTCACCATCTGGTCTTTGTGTTTATACGTTAGCTATTGTGAATAGGGCGAGACGTCGTCCAGACGGTCCCGGCAATTATTACCACTGAATAGGTATACCAATAAATATGTCAAAAAGAGCCTTGAGTTGAGCAATTCGTACCCAGACTACAAGGGGTTACTCTGTTTCGTTCAGACTAAATAAATGTAGACTAAACATCCTTGCCGGACCGAGCGTACCAACACAAAGCCCAGACGATGAAATGTACCCCACAGTACCCCCTTACCGGAGAAAAAGTTATACGAGAAACAAAAATTACGTAGCCTGCTATGGGCACACAAAAAAAAAACAATACACAAAAAATTTGAACAATACAAAAAAAAATTACAAAATCTGACAAAGCAAAAAAAAGTTTAACACAAAAAAAAATCTAAACAATTAACATTAAAAAAAAAACTCATTACTTAAAACCTGCTTGAAATCGGTTTGGTACGCTGGTAATCCTATTGGATCGCCTAACGCACTCTTTATTTAAATTAAACCGCACCTTCTTTGGTGGAACGATAGTCTTTGCACATGCCTTCTTTGTGTCACTCACTGGAGATTTACAATTGAACTGAGCTGGCGGTGCAATTACCGCGCTATCGTTGCTTCCTTGTGACACCACACTCGGCGGCGGCGTTTGAGTTGAAGATCCGCGTGGTTGCCATACTAGATGGCTGCTACCGTCGTCGTCATCTTCATCCATCTCTGGTGGTGGCATTTCTGGTTGCACCACAAATACCGGCTTCACCCGGTCAATTGAAACATTAACCTCTTTACCGTTGATGCGCAGTGTAAAATTTTCGCACTGCGTCTTATAACGGGAAATGGTCCATCGTATGGTGGTTGTAGGCCAATCCTGACCGCATCACGACGTACAAAAACCTGCTCGCAATCCTGCAGAGACTTGGGCAGGAATATCTTCTTTTCTCCATGTCGGGATGGCTCGGACGGTGACAGAACGCGGAATTGTTCCTTCAGATTCTTAATGAACTCGTTTCCGAAGTCCGGCGAACTGTCACTGCTGCCTATGAACTCGGCAGGCAGGCGTAAGGTTTGTCCGAAAACCATCTCCGCTGGTGTGGCTTGTATGTCCTCCTTCCAAGCATTACGCAGTCCAAGCAGGATAATTGGCAGTGTTTTCGTCCATGCTGGGTTGCGATGGCACATCAGGGCTGCCTTTAATTGTCGGTGCATCCGCTCAACCATACCATTAGCCTGTGGATGATAGGCGGTTGTTCGAAGATGCGTCGAACCCATCATGGCATTCAAACTCTTGAAGAGGAATGATTCAAACTGTCGACCTTGATCGGTCGTAATTCTCCCCGGGACTCCATGGCGGCAGATCCACTGCTCCAGCAACGCTCGAGCGACGGTGGATGCTTCCTGGTTCACTAGGGGTATTGCCTCAGGCCATCTAGTGGCTCTGTCAACGATGGTAAGGCAATATTTATGTCCTTCGGATGGAGGCAACACGATCAAGTCGATGTGAATATGATCGAATCTTCCTAGGGGCGTCGGAAACTTGCCAATGGGAGCAGATACGTGTCGAGACACCTTTGCTTGCTGGCATTCTAGGCAAGCCTTAGCCCACTCCCGACAGTCACTCGTCACTCCTGGCCACACAAATCTCTCCGCTACTGCACGAGCTGTCGGCTTGGGTCCAAGATGTGCAATGTTATGGACCGAAGCAAAAGCTGCTCGACGAAATTCGGGCGTGACGTAGGGTCTGGCTTTCGATGTGGACACATCGCACACCAACGATACCTCAACTCCAGGGATCTGGAGGAGCTTCAACTGCAGACCACTGCTGTCATCCTTGAATTTCGTCATCTCTTGATCTCTCTTCTGCGATTCAGCCAGGGCGACAAAATCGATGGCGATGCTTATCTCCTCAACACGAGACAAGGCATCGGCCACCACGTTTTCTTCGCCGGCGACGTGACGAATGTCAGTACAAAATTGCCCAATGTAGTCAAAGTGTCTCACCTGGCGTGGTGTTGACGGCTGCGTCTTCTGTCCAAAAGCGAACGTCAAAGGCTTGTGGTCAGTAAAAATGTGAAAATCACGTGCTTCCACCATGTACCGGAAATGCTTGACAGCCGCGTACATGGCTAACAGCTCGCGATCGTATGCAGCGTATTTGGTCTCCGCCGGTGACAACTTCTTCGAGAAGAACTCCAGCGGTTGCCACTCTTCATCCACTTTTTGTTGCAACACGGCACCCACGGCAAAATCAGACGCGTCGCAAAATATTGCGAGCGGCGCTGTAGGGTCTGGATGGCTCAGCAATGTTGCTTTGGCAAGCGCTTCCTTGCAATCCCGGAACGCTGCACATGCCCCCTCATTCCAAGTGATGGGTTTATTTCCCTTAACATTGCCGTGAAGTAGCTCATTTAGTGGAGCCTGAAGAGAAGCAGCTCGAGGGATAAACCTCCTGTAGAAGTTAATCATCCCGAGAAAACGCCGAAGTTGTTTAGCGGTCTCAGGTTGCGTAAAATCCATAATCGCTTCTACCTTTGTTGGGAGCGGGCTGGTGCCTTGACTGGACACCAGATATCCAAGGAATTTTACGCTATCCTGGCCAAACACACACTTCGCAGCATTAATTACCACGCCGTAGTCGCTCAGACGCTGGAACAGCTGATGGAGATGAGTTGCATGTTCCTCCTCACTGGACGATGCTACCAAAATGTCATCTATATATGCGAATGCAAAATCCAACCCCTGGAGAACCTCGTCGATGAAACGTTGAAACGTCTGCGCAGCATTACGCAGTCCGAACGTCATGACGGTGAACTCGAAGAGTCCAAACGGGGTGATTATTGCAGTTTTCGGGATGTCCTCGGGAGCCAGCGGAATTTGGTGAAAAGCGCGCACGAGGTCTATCGTCGAAAAGATAGTCTTCCCGTGCAACGCATGAGCAAAATCTTGAATGTGACGTACCGGATACCGATCCGGCAAGGTCCTAGCATTCAATGCTCTGTAATCTCCGCATGGTCTCCATTCTCCCGTTTGCTTCGGCACTAAATGAATCGGTGATGCCCAAGGACTCTGGGACGGTCGGGCCATGCCAAGTTGGATCAAGGCATCGATTTCCTTCTTGGCGGCGGCAAGACGATCGGGCGCTAATCTGCGCGGATGTTGCGCAACCGGTGGACCTGGTGACGTAGCGATGTAATGGACGGTATTGTGCTTCGGTGGACGACCTGCACTTTGCGGTTTAGTGATGTCCGGGTATGCACTTAATACCTCACCGAACACAGACGCACCCTGAATAGCTTTAATTGACGGAGTGCTACAGACTGCCAACTCGCCATGCGATGTGGTCAGCCCCGAAGCCACCTCCCTCAATTCACCGTTTTTTATGTCCACGATCAAGCCGAAATGATGCAGAAAATCCGCACCGATTATGGGGCGATCGACATCTGCAATTATAAACGCCCAAAGAAACTCGCGACCTAAGCCAAAGTCTATTTTAATGTTCATGTGTCCATAAGTAGCTATAGGTGTACCGTTGGCAGCGGCCAACGAATACTCGCACGCACTATTGTGTCCACGCACTCTGATTCGCGGATACACGCTCACATCCGCACCAGTGTCAATTAAATATACGTCGCACTCAGTGTTTTTGTCCTTTAGAAATAATCGGCGCGTGGTTGCTTTGGAGGCGTGACAGTCTTTCGCGGCCACTATTGACTGCCCGCCACACCGTTTCCCGAACCAAAATGACACGGTGGCTCACATCTCTTCGCATCCGGCCCAAATCGCGCATGAAGCCAACAAATATATTGTTGCGACTTGCCTCGCGACTTGCTGCGGTAACGCTGGCGATTGCGATGTTGATCACGACGATGCTGCACTTCTAGAACTTCCATAGCGCTCCTCTCCTCCATGCGCAACGAAAGTTCCTTCACTCTTTCGTCCATGTGCAGCGTAAGTTCTTTTACCTTCTCAGCCAAAGAGTTAACCACTTCAGCCAACGATGACTCCTTGGCTTGAAGCTGGACTGGGCTGCGCTGCGCACATGATAACTTCGTGGCTGCGTGTATGCCATCCGCCATCGATGCTAAGTAGGCGAGATCGTCGCTCTGCGCGCCAGATACAACTAGGCGTGTTGCTTCCGGCAAATTACGCATCCACTGCGTTTTGATGATCGCATCTCCGGCGAGTGGACCACCTTTCCGCTGTAGGTCTCGCAGAAACTGGGAAGGTGTACGATCGCCTATAAATTCACCTTCCAGCAAGGCCTGAATTTTCTCCTCGTTGGAGGTGCCCAGGCGCTTAATTAATGCCTCCTTCACTTCGTCGTACGTGCTGTCTGGTCTTGCTATTATGTCCATCACCGCTTGACGGTCTGTTGGCGTCAAAAATTGTAACACTATGGACAATTTTTCATCATCTTCCGTCACTTGAGTGAGCCGAAAGGTGCGCTCAGCAAGTGTGAACCAAACACTAATTTCTTCATTGTCCGAACGCGGAATTAAACGTACAACGCGGGCACTCGCGATTTGAATCGGCGCGGATGTACTTTGAGCCATTTCGATTTTCTAATTTTTACTCGGTACACTTATTCTCACCGCTCACACACTTAAAATTTGATAACGTGTTCTTCAATTTAATATCACGTCGGGGTCACCAATTTGTGGGATCGGTGAGTGTGGGTTATAATTGATGCAAAGACACTTGGTTTGAATATCACGATGTAAGTTTATTAAGAAGTTGTGGTAATGCGTTTATTAATAAGTACTAGCTTCTGCATCAAATGAACTCGAAGAACTGACTGACGAACACCTCTCGAGGTGCCCCTTTTATATCGGAAATTTTCACCATCTGGTCTTTGTGTTTATACGTTAGCTATTGTGAATAGGGCGAGACGTCGTCTAGACGGTCCCGGCAATTATTACCACTGAATAGGTATATCAATAAATGTGTCAAAAGAGCCTTGAGTTGAGCAATTCGTACCCAGACTACAAGGGGTTACTCTGTTTCGTTCAGACTAAATAAATGTAGACTAAACATCCTTGCCGGACCGAGCGTACCAACACAAAGCCCAGACGATGAAATGTACCCCACACAGTTTTCAAGATCACACAATAAAACTGGTAACAACCAACTGCGAGTGTTGAGTCATCTTCAATTATAAATCCCGATAAAGCCAAAAACCAACAAAAATTACATATTATTTTTTAGCATCTCCAACGGTTTGGATTTCTGTTATCAGATAGATGATATTTTTCAAAATAAAATATTGATCAGTCGCTTAACTTCAAGGAATATTTACATTTACAGTTAAACATCAACAGATGATAAGCTAATATAAATATGAAAAAAATCGTTAAAACTTATTACAAATACGTTAAAAATAAAGATGATCGAATTTAACACTAACACGTGTTGTATCAATATTTAATGCATAAACAATTCCAAGGATAAATGCATTGATCATTGGTTAGCATTGAATTAACATTGATTCGTCATTGATTTTTCTGATTAATTTGCAAACACACGTTTTGTATTAAATTGTTGCTAATATATAGAAATTGCTGTTTATTGGCAAGAGGTCAAAGTGAAACTAGGACGTCAAAATTTCAACCTTTAATTAACTTTTGCCCTCGATGTGTTATTAATAACGCGATCAAATTAGCTCTTCATCGATTAGCGGCGCGATGAGGCGGCACACCTGGCTGGCAATAAATATGTCAATTTGCTAACAAGTTTCCTCCTTTCCTTCTTCGTCCTTCTTCTCTTAATTTACTACCGTGAAAGTAATTTTGCTATAAATAGAGTATTGATATGTATAAGATACTTTATCCATTGTACAATAATTCTGTTTCTGGTTAAAGGTTTTAAAAAATCATTTTTTTTATAATTTATTTCTCCGCAATATGGTCAAATAAAATTGATGACTCTCAAAAAATCTCCCCAATCAATTCAGGCACTTTCATGTTAACCAATTTCGTGGTTGCGATTTTCTCATTCTTTCATCCCTTAATTCCACGCGCTTTAGAAGAACTGCTGAGCGGGTGCGGTATAAAGTAGAGTAATGGATATATAAAGAGACAACGATAAAGTAGGCCGGGTGCTTTGTCGAAAAGGACGAAGGACGAGACCGATATGAGCACTAAAGTGGAGCCTAGAAAGTGAAACCCGAGCGCGCTACGCCAACGACGAGATAAAAAGGGTTGATTCGCTGGGTGACTCGCGAAAACACGCAAAGTCCTGGCTTCTCCTGGCCCACTATTCGAATTATGCGACCTTTTCACGTAATTTACTAAATGTACATCGCGATATCGTATACCGCTGCCCGCAAAACTCGAGCGCAAACAAGAGAATAATTCTGTTGCTTTAGAAAATAAAATTTTACCGTAAAACTCTTCATAAAAATATTTTTATATTAAAATATTTAAAATGTTAAATTTTTATATTTACCTATTTTGATTTTTAAATTTTACCAATCTGTATTTTGGTATTTTTATTAAACTTTTATTTAACTTGTAATCATTTTCGGAATGCGCTAGGAATAAGTTACTATACTAAACAAACATTCTCGAATGCCCGTAATTCCAGCAAAATTGAAAATTGTTTCTTTTCACTTTCACTGCTTTACTCCGCCTGACTTTTTCCTCATCGTGTGACCCTCGTCGAGCGCAACATTTTATCTTCTTCCTCTCCAGTTTCTCATCGAGGTTGCGCGCAAAAATAGCAGCAGTCTGAGCAGCTATGTGGCTCCCGATTGCCACGAAGGAAGTTTCCTGCGTGCTGCGCCTTCCTGCCGGGATGTCTAATCTTCTTCCCGTTCGTTTGCCTCGCGTTTCGACCATTGTGAAGAAGATATTAACGTCACCGCGAACATTACTACATTTTTCTTCGGATATTTTCTTTTTGAAAATCTCACAAATAACGCGTTATTGCTAACAACATATTTCGTAATAGTTCTGCTTTTATTAAAATCATTTTCCCATGTTAAATATTTTCCTACCGCAATTTATAAAGTAAATAAACAAAGGCGTGCGGTTTTTATGATGAACGGACGTTAATCATTGTTTTGATAAGACGCATTTCATTTCGAAGGTTGTATGTAACACACACTGGGTAAACCGAAACCAGAAACACACCCTAGTGAGTTATTAATAGCACAACACCGCGAAAATGCGATAAACTCATAAATAATTGATTGGTTACCAGCAAAGGTCAAACAATTCATGCCGGAAAATTACCTTGAATTTATTTTTATTCCAATTTACGAATATTTACGCAGTAATATTAAATTTTTTGATTTTCATTTTAGGTCTACGTCAGCGGATGCCTAGCGAATCTGTACACGAAATCCCAGGCGGATAAAGAATGGCAAATCCGTTTCACCGGAATACCTGTGGTTCTCCACGACGAAGGAGTCGTAAGATCGCGTACAAAGCGTCGTATTCAAATCCTACTCGCTGAACGTGGTACCTCGTTCATGTTATGGCGTGACACCATCGACAACCTCACCTCATACAAAGTCTCATCGCCTACCTTCCATACAATGTACTACAGCGAGGATCATTCCATCCAGATTGGTTTTAGTTTTGACCAGGATGAAGCCGCACATGATATGTGGGCACATATCGAACACCTTGTCGCAGACCCAGAGAATATCTGCCTTTCTACACCCGGGAAAAAGAAGAAGAAGAAGGAACGCAAACAGCCTAAACCGGCACCGCTCCCGCCCAAAACGCAGATCTCTCTGCCATGTTGCTTCCAGCACATCACACAGGTTGAGCATGCAGATCGAGGCAAATTCTTTTCACTCAAAGAATACGTTCCTCTGACGTCCTTCATGCCCAAACTGCGGGCGAGTCGTGAAGAATTGTAAAAATACGTACATCAATTTCTAATTCATAGAATAACACTATTTTTAAAGATTTTTATTTATAAGCAATTGAATTTTTCAATGTTATTGAAATAATTGCTTCTTGAGCTGAATCGATTAGGTCACTAGGAATTTTACGTAGACTTTATTACTCTACTAATGGGACTTTATGTATTTACTTAGGTTTATTGTTTACTAGTAATTTGTCGACTGAATTTAAGGCGCTGTTTATAAAAACGTAGATGCTAAGAGAAAAGCTACGAATAGATTAAAACTAGTTCAGAAATTGCATAGAAATGCATTATGTGTCTGTTTACTCTTGAAATTATGAGAATTTGTGCCAACAAGTGTAATTTCAAAGTAAACGTTGAATTAAACTTTGTACCAGTTGAAAGTTTCAAAGTTATTAATTAAAATAAATTTAAAAAAGTATAAATGCAAGTGTAAAAAGCATATCATATTGTTTTACAATTATTTTTAAACAGAATTACGTAAATGTGTTTTTTTCGTTGAAAATATTGGCATCAAAATGAAATGGAAGCGTCGATAAAATTTAGAAATTTAAAAACTGTGATATATCAAGAATAATTGAATGAATTGAATTTGTAATATCGAGGGAAATATTTTATATTTATATTACTCGTGGAGTGCAGACGAGTAAAATATTATATATATTTAATAATAATTAAATGGCTAAAGAATAATATTATGTGCAAATGATTAACTGTAATATTTGTAGCAAAATTTGTGTATTGAAAGTTTTGCCACAAATATCTATACGAATTATACCAATTATTAATTAATTGTTTTTGTATGCAAATGGAGGATTAACATTGTGAGTTCTTGTGTCTATTGATTTTCTTACTACAACATGATCGCATGTTTATTGCTGTGTACAATGTAATATTATTACAAACAAAAATAAACATAAAAACAAACAATGTAGATTATGATTGTAACCATTACATCTTGATATTTTAATAATATAAATCATTTCCAATACACAATAGCTGCCAATTACCGGTGAAATACGTCAGCGGCGGGTTGGAAGTGATACTGAATGGCAATTGTGTATGATATCGAGTAATTTGTAAGTATTTGTAAGTAACACAAATCATAGAAATTGAGTATATGAATTTGTATTCCTTGGCGAACTATGGTAATTATTAATTAAAAAAAAATGGTTGTTTGTAAAGTAGGTTTACGATCGAGATGTTTACGTGATAACGTCTTATTGGTGATATAAGTTTTGTTTGTTGCAATTGTTGTAACACTTCACTTGCACTTCACATTTTGTTTTACTGTTCGGCCGATAAAAAGTTTGTAGTGTGCGGGGAGCCTAAGGTTATAACGAGAGGGGGGTATACCTGCGATCGGCCTCGTGAGGCCTCGCGACACAGTTTCTGAACAGTCACCCGACTAAAACGATTTTAAAGACGTTATCACGTCAAAAAATTGCGCAGCGGTTCAGGGCGCAGTACGAAGTTAGCGGTAGAAGTGACTTTTATTCAGGGCACCGTACGAGGTTAGCGGTAAAAATGACTTAATTCAGGGCATCGTACGAGGGTAGCGGTAGAAGTGACTCGTGTTCAGAGCACCGTACGAGGGTAGCGGTAGAAGTGACTAGTATTCAGTGCACTTTACGATGAATATCACGTTACAATTCAAATAAGTATATACATACATTAGGTAAGTGCTACGTTATAAATAGAAAACTTGTTTATAAACAGCAAATGTAAATTTGACCGAAAAATATAATTGAATTATAAACTTACCAGTGTACAGCTTATCGGACTGCCAGTCACAACGAGTGCTGTAACTAAACGAAAACATAAATTAGAACAAAAATTCATACAATTGAATTATGTTAAAAGTAACAATCAACACAAAATAAACAATCTGCTTAGTTAAAAAATACTTGCACGAGCCTGATGGATCTCTCTCAATGATGAGACATGATCAACATGATCAACATGCGGGCGATATATATCCGATTAATTTAGTAACCGACGCTAAACACAACGCCGAGTGAAGAATGTTATCAAATCCACTATCACGTGACTTGTAATATACATAACAAACGCGATCAAAAACCGGCATTTCCGAACATTAAACAAATTACTATAGTCGCAAAGTACCAATAAATAATTGATTGATCTTCGAGTATAACACATATTAAGAATATTGAAGTCCGAATAAACGATATAAGTCTCTCAAAACACGACTCGATTAACCAGCGACCTGCACGAAACTGGCTGCAATCCACCGATAGTGCATGCCGAAACTGCGTAAACAATGACGGGACAGTATATGATAAGAAAGCAAGAGGTGCGCAAAGATGGCGCGTCGAAGGCACGCGTCCTTGTGCGCGAATTTGCAATAGGCGCATTACCTGTGATCTAAACTAAACTAGACTTCGCTGCATGCTGTAAGTTGATGCGGCGGCTAGGAGACAGCGCGCGGAACACATGCGTTAAAAACATTGTTTACACCGAATCGTAGATAACAGCATTGTATACAAAAATATTCTCGTGCCCACGTTTGTCGATAAATATAAAAATAAGCCGTATAATTAGATTGTTATTATTTTATTACTTCAATTGCGAATATCTCGTAAACCAAAAGAGATAATTAAGATCTGATCGCAGCGTCTTAATCTACGGACCAATCTCTATCAGATAGGATAATTAAAAGGAAAATCTGAGTGATGAAATTTTAAGTCTTAAGAAAAAATTGCCAAGGGGGGGTGCTTGATACTTTTTTTCGACAATTTTTGATAATTAATATCTCTTAAACTAGAAGCCATAGCAACCAACGAATTGCTGATTATGAAAGATTAGAAAATTCTCTATCTGATAAAAATATAAAATAATTATATTTCTTACAGTAAAAGGTCAAAAAACGGCACTAAAAGTACTAAAAAGTGACATTTTTCAATTTATGCCCATTTTATTCAATCGTGAATATCTCCTAAACTAAAAGAGATAATTAAGATCTGATCGCAGCATCTTAATCTACGGACTATTTTCTATCAGATAGGCTAGCTAAAACGGAAATCTGAGAGATGAAATTTTAATTCTTAAGAAAAAATTGCCAAGGGGGGGTGCTTGATACTTTTTTTCGACGATTTTTGATAATTAATATCTCTTAAACTAGAAGCCATAGTAACCAACGAATTGCTGATTATGAAAGATTAGAAAATTCTCTATCTGATAAAAATATAAAATAATTATATTTCTTACAGTAAAAGGTCAAAAAACGGCACTAAAAGTACTAAAAAGTGACATTTTTCAATTTTTGCCCATTTTATTCAATCACGAATATCTCCTAAACTAAAAGAGATAATTAAGATCTGATCGCAGCGCCTTAATCTACGGACTATTCTCTATAAGATAGGCTAGTTAAAACGGAAATCTGAGAGATGAAATTTTAATTCTTAAGAAAAAATTGCCAAGGGGGGGGTGCTTGATACTTTTTTTCGACGACTTTTGATAATTTATATCTCTTAAACTAGAAGCCATAGTAACCAACGAATTGCTGATTATGAAAGATTAGAAAATTCTCTATCTGATAAAAATATAAAATAATTATATTTCTTACAGTAAAAGGTCAAAAAACGGCACTAAAAGTACTAAAAAGTGACATTTTTCAATTTATGCCCATTTTATTCAATCGCGAATATCTCCTAAACTAAAAGAGATAATTAAGATCTGATCGCAGCGTCTTAATCTACGGACTATTCTCTATAAGATAGGCTAGTTAAAACGGAAATCTAAGAGATGAAATTTTAATTCTTAAGAATAAATTGCCAAGGGGGGGTGCTTGATACTTTTTTTCGACAAGTTTTGATAATTAATATCTCTTAAACTAGAAGCCATAGCAACCAACGAATTGTTGATTATTAAAGATTGGAAAATTCTCTATCAGATAAAGATATAAATAAATTATATTTCCTACAGTAAAAGGTCGAAAAACGCGACTAAAAGTGCTAAAAAGTGACATTTATCAATTTTTGCCCATTTTATTCAATCGCGAATATCTCGTAAACCAAAAGAGATAAATAGGATCTGATCGCAGCGTCTTAATCTACGGACCAATCTCTATCAGATAGGATAGTTAAAAGGGAAATCTGAGAGATGAAATTTTAAGTCTTAAGAATAAATTGCCAAGAATATCTCTTAAACTAGATAGCTATCAACGAATTGTTGATTATTAAAGATTGGAAAATTCTCTATCAGATAAATATATAAAATAATTATATTTCCAACAATAAAGGGTCAAAAAACGCCACTAAAAGTACTAAAAAGTGACATTTTTCAATTTTTGCTATATATATATACGAACAGATTTCAAATTCTTAATCTACGGAAAATTTTCTATAAGATAAGACGATTAAAATGCATATATAAGAATGACATTTTAATTCATAAGAAAAAATGGGCAAATGGGAGTCAGCTAAAGAATTATCCACGTACGGTGCCCTGAACACGAGTCACTTCTATCGACACCATGCTACGGTAAACCGAATGAGACTTAATTATACAATTGCGATTAATTGCAATATAACTAAATAAATAAGGAATAAGCAACGTTCTTGACATATTCGTGTCAATAAACGATAATAGTGCATATCTTTTAAACTAAAAGTTATAGCGGCCAACGGATTGAAAGTTATGAAATTTGGAAAATTCTGCATTAGATAAGAATTTAAAATAAATTAATTTCGTGGGATAAAATGACCAAACACATGACTAAAAGTGAAATTTTTCTTTTTTGTCCTTTTTTTAATTTCAAATATCTCCTAATTGTGTCCGACCGTGCCGGTCGTCTAATTTGTGTCCCAGGTAGATACATATAAAAATAAACTTACAGAATTTGATCGGTGCCTCCGTATCCACACCACCATAATTGTAAGACGCCAACGACCGATAGCACTTATAGGAATGCAATCTTTATTATTTTCACGTTATTTGATTTTACTTTATTTTTAGTGATTTGTTTTTAAATTTTTAAATGTTTAGCCATAAGAGCATAATGAATAATAAACTTATTAGATAATTTATATAAAGAAAGTAACGCGTAGACGCGGTTACAAACATGTTGTAACATGTTTAAAACACAAGAGTTGCACACGAGTCATCCGACGATAAGAACACACTAAATTCCTGAAATTGTAAACACCACGCTAGAAATATCGCGACTTGAAGATTGCTTGTAGATAAGGTCAAAAACAAGTTTGTACGCAAAGACTAAACAGATAGTGTGGACAGTGGTAAACGTACGAAACTTAATTCTAGCGCCACCAAGGTGTGGCGGCTAGAACTAGTGCTCACGATAGCAATATTAAGAACGAATAGCAGTTTTCATTGAATATTGTCAAGGACACATTTAAATTTTCCTAGTTTAAATCACAAGCAGGCAATCTTAAAAAATTTAGTGCGCGGTGAGAATGGATAATATGAAACTATTAATAATTGTCAAATACGAAGAAAAAATGTTAAAATTATGTAGAAAAATAATATTTACAGATATTTCGAATTTAAAGATGGAATTTAACATTACACTTTAGAATTTATATTATTTTAAATCCTATAATCGAATTAAATGTCCATAACTTAAGGTAATGTGGATTAACGTATTGTAAGTTGCATATAGTTGACTGTGTACTTCACCGTTATACAACTACATCTTCACCAACATGAACAAGAGACGTAGAAGAACATATTTGGGCTAATTGTCAATAATAATGTGAATTTAATCAATGGTTTGTTTGCCTAAGCAGTTTTTGAACAATTTACGTCAGTGTCGAGCTAATAAACTATAACTTTCTCAATAAATGTTAAATTAACACTGATTTATTTAAATTATTACTTAATTAATGCTGCCGCGTTGTGTGGTCGAATATTCAAAAATTATATTCTCAATTCCTAGCAAATAATTTAAAATTCAACTAATAAATCCGCACAAATATGAAAAAAAGCAAAAACTGGTTGTTCTAGAGAGAAATAAAATGTTTATCAATATAATGTAAATATATGTGGTTTGCAGATGTATCGAAAGTTGCAATTAATTGCCGAATACATTATTCAACGTTGATATCGCCGACCACCCTGCATGCAGCATGCTAAAAGACCACAACCGTCGATCATTTATATTTTATACTGTCGGTTACATCTCATTCCACAACCAAAACCAAAAAAGTAAAAAAAAAGCCGAAATATGATTAAAATTTTAAAGAACATAATAAAAATTAACCTGAATAAAGAAAATATTAGTTAAATCATTGGGTAGTGCGGAAATATGGTTAAAATTTAAAGTTTTAAAAACTTTGAATGGAATGATTTTGATTCGATGCGAAATGAAGTCTGAATGAACGTGAAGTTGTACGCTGCAAGCAGAAACACACCGCATCGTTTTCTCGCCGAGGTATTTTTATGTCTGTGGCCCCGCGGCGCAAATTTGCCATAGCCCGAATTAAATTGATACCTTTGCAGCTCTTTTCGGTTGCTCGTTTTTGGCCAAGTAACATACACCAAAAAATCGCCGCACAAAACTAACAACGCAAGCGAATACGAAGCGAAAAAAAATTCAAGTTTAAAGTCTAAATTGACTTGAAACGAGTCAATGAAATGTACTAAATGAAATTATAATTTGTCTACAAGCTACGCATTAACGTGCGTGTATTATTA